ATTGCATTTTAAAAAGTTGATTATCAAATATATAAAATTTAATACAGATTACTAAAAATGCATATTATTTCTATATACAATATTTTTGGTTTGAATATTATTTTTTTTATTTTTTTTTATTTACGTAAAATTTATACATTATTTCAAATTCCTTAATAATTCTGCATACATCAATTTTCTAAAAAATTATAAAAAAATAAATCATTATAAAATATATGTAATTTACTATGGAATCAGTAAATACGTATACAAACCTTATAATAAACATATCATTTCCTTATTTAAATTTCTTATAGGGTATGGAAGCCTAATAGAAATAACAAGAGTGTTCAGCGATTCATTTCACGAATGTGAGATAGACACACCTATGAAGAAGCGGATGCCAAACGATGCATAAAAAAGGTCTAACATTCAAGTCTTATATTTATGATATCCTAGAACTAGGCGAATACTTTGAGTATATTGTAGTTGAGAATGATTTAGCACAATACAGATCGAATAATGAAGTATTGGTAAAAATCAGATACCTGATTCTTTACTGATTCTTTACTGATTCTGCTATTCCATTGTTCTAATACTCAATTCTGATTGGATGTAGAGTCTTGTAGCATTTTTGCCTACAACTGGTTACAAATACTTTATGAATATCAAATGTTTATTGGTAAAGAATCAGATTTCTAACATTTACTTGATTTATGCTTGATTTATAACTGAAAATTTTGAAATTTATTGAAATATCGATATAAATAGGATAAAAATCATGATAATGTCAGATTTCTGACAATTTTATTACATTTATATAATATTCTAAAGATTTATTTAACCTATCATATAAATACTATTAAATAATACAATATGCATCAGATAAAAATAGATATATACAATATGTTACAATTATTATATATATATAGTAATGATCTATCTAATAAAACTACATATTATGTAATTTAAAAATATATAAAATATATTAAAAATGCACTATCAGCTATGCTAATAAAAAAATATCAAATATATTAATTAATGATGAAATAGCTAATAATGAAATATTGATTTGTCGACCTCCAATTATTGATCATTACTGTCTGTTTCGTTATCATCATCTGAATGGTCAGAATGGTATAACTGTGAAATAGTCAATTCTGTAGCATTTTCTGAAGATTTGGATTTATCAATCTATCTTCCATCCTCGTATCAGCGATGACGTGAAACTTTTACATGACTTATATTTTCACCAACTTTATCAGACAAATGAAGTAATTCTCATATCTATTAAATAATAAAATAATAATTAATAAACAAATCTTTTTGTGATTCATTTTATTTACATAGCATGACCTCCAAGGTTTATCGTAAACATGAAGAACATGTCTATCTGATGATTTTTGGCTTTAGGCCGAACATGATCTTTAATCTCCTTTTTGGTAAGCTTCTCATCAGTTTCAAAGACTTCATCACTGTGATATTTTCTCTCATTCATTATAGTTTCACAATCCTTCTTGAAGTTATCCAGAAATAGAGAAGATAGTTAAAGCTCTGCAAGTGATGAATTGTTGATATTAAACATATAAGTAATGCCTTTTTGTCATCATTCTTTTTTCTGTTATTAATCAAAATACATTAGAACTTATTAGATTACTAATATCATCTCATGAGCGATCTCCAATACTTACATTTTTTCTTCAAGAATTTATTCCTTTTCTTTTTTTTTCAGTCTTAACCTTGTTTGGATCAAGATTGACAATCCAATTTTCTCTATGGTGGCAGTGTAGATTCTGCAAAACCCACTTTGATTCCACTTCTTTAAACTGAAATCTTATTGCCAGAGCTTTAGAAATCTCCTTCATAATATATTTTGAAACGTGACATACAATTTTAGACCATTTTTGGTATAATCCAGCTGCAATGAATCATCAAGACCAATCAGGATTTGTACAACCTCATCTTTGATTTTAATAAAAAAATCATTAAATGAATTGTTTTACAACCAATAGCTACTCAATGCTTACATGAAACAATTTGTATTGGTCTTTATCCATATCTTCAAGAAGTGTTCGGGTATGTCAACGGTATCTGGCTTCTAGTTCTGGCGTAAGTAATATATTTTTTTGTCTATATTCTGTTTGAGAAACTGATGCCTGAGGAGACGTCTCTTCTTCCTGCAATTCATCTTGTAAATTGCCTGTTGCTTGGGAATTTTGATATTACGAACTTCTTCCGTAAGTGCACTAATGGCCCTACTTAAAGCTTCTATATCTAAATTTGAAACTACTAAAATTGTTAAACCATATTTATTTAAAAATCCAAAAACATAGAAAGTAATATAACTATACTATTATCCTTATTAGTTCTTGTAGGAGAACAATCCCTGCTATACATGAAGTCAAAATGAAAACCCAAAAGGTCGAAATGTTTCAACTTTGGAAATCAAAGTCGAAATGAAAAGTCGAAATGGTCGAAATTACGTCATATCACATGATTTTTATATATAGAAAAAACAAAAA